GTCTTCACAGAAGCAAAGCCCAAACCACACCCACTGCTGTGGGGTCCATTCCGACCCCCAGCACCCCTAGAGGACACAGTGGAACTGCCCCATGGGGCTTCCAACACTGATCTTCACAGAAGCAAACTGCCACATCTTTCTTCCATAGGGCAGCTGGTGGTTCCAACAGCCAACTTTGTGCTTTAAGCACCACACCCCAGGGCTCCTCTGACATGTGACAGGCACTCAGTGTGCAGTCGCTTAACAAACGAATGAACCCAGAAACAAGCTTATTTTCCTCTCCTTTCCCACTTGCGCTACATTTACAGCAGATGCAGGGAACTAGTGACAAGCAGGAGATGGCATGGTTTCTGTCACCAGGGCCGCAGCAGGTGTGTCCCCGGGCTCCCCGCCCCCGCCCCACCGGCAGTACCTGGATGCCCTTCAGGTTCATCCTGCGCCTGGGCGGGTGGTAGGGCAGGAAGTACTTGCTGTCTTCAGGGGACTCCTCGGAGGTCGACGAGTCGTCCGCTTCCTGGCCGTTGGTCCTGGGGCTGGCGTCCCCGAAGGCCTGCGAGATGGTGGTCACCGGCAGGTTCCGGGGCAGGCTCTGGGACGGCATGAAGCCATGTCAGTGCTGGGGTGGCACAGGCAGCCCCAGGCCAGCAGCCAGCCAGGAGCCCTGACCGCCCCTGGCCAGGCCGGCTCCTCCTTCCTTCTGGCTCCGGTCTCACTCAGACGCCACGGCCCCCAATCTCGGCTCCACCGTCCGTGTCCCCCACAGCCCTGTTCTCCATCATCCTCCCGCCAGGGCCTCGGTCAGACCCCGCCTTCTTTTCCAGAAGTAAAAGCATTGCCCGTACTTGGTCTCGGCCCCTAAATCCAACCCACCAAACACCGGCCACTGTCACGTCAGCTCCGACTCACAGCGACCCCCGTGGGTCAGAGTGGAACCGCGCTCCCTGGCGCTTCCAGGGGCTGGTACTTTTGGAAGTAGCCCAGCAGCCCTTTGTTCCGTGCCCCTGGGTGGACTCTAACAGCTGACCTTTCCGTTAGCAGACAAGCACCCCCAGGGACTCCTGAATCTGTTATGGTCCTGTTACTTTCCCAGTTACTAGCCCTGTCTGTACTAGAACCACACACAGATACTGCTGAACGGTTGAATAATAATAAGTAATAATAACAATAATAAAATAAATAATAAATATGAAAATAAGTAACAATAAATATAATAGTGCCAGCTGATGTATAAAGTGCCTTATATCTATTGTCTTTTTAAATGTTTCCTGACTGTATTTTTACTCAAATAACACTCATAAAGTTTTTTTTTGCCAAACTACACAACCCCCCTGCGTGTTAGTTCCCTCTGTGTGCTGTGTGATGTATGTATGTGCACACTATTTCCGTGGGTGTGTTACATGCAAAAATATAGTGCATGTGTTTGTTTTCGCTCACTTTTTACAAATAAGTGGGGCTGATTATCAAAGATTTCCCAGCTGGCATTGCAAAGCCAGCATGTTACCTACTCTCCTAACTTCAAAGTGAGTGGGGTCTACCTTGTCACTAAGGTTAGAGGGTTATCCTGGGCGTGGGAGAAAGGGTCCCTGCCTGGGATCCCCCCTCTTGGCCTACCCAGACAAGGCTGTGTACCCGGCGGGGGCGGGTCATCAGCAGGAGCTGGTCACCCAGTGGGGGCAGGTCACCTGGCAGGGTGGGTCCACCTGGTGGGGCTGGGTCACCCAGCAAAGGCCATGAATCCTGTGTTGGTCGCCCACCCAGTGGGGCGGGTCACCCAGCGGAGGCCGTGCAGCCCTTGCTGGTCGCCCACCCGGCGGGTGGGTCACCCGGCAGAGGCCGTGCACCCTGTGTTGGTTGCCCACCCAGTGGGGCGGGTCACCCAGCGGAGGCCCTGCAGCCTGTGCTGGTTGCCCACCCAGCGGGCGGGTCACCTGATGGGGCTGGGTCACCCGGCCGAGGCCGTGCAGCCCGTCACCCGGCGGGCGGGTCACCTGGTCCAGGCTGCTGTCCTTGGAGAGGCGCCGCAGCTTGCTCTCCAGGTTGGCGATGCAGGCCTCGCGCCGAACCATCTCAATGCGCATTTCGTCGTTCTTCTCCTCCAGCTCGCGGATCTGTTTCCGGTACTTGTCCTTCTCGATGAGGCACTGTGAGTACTGAGTCTGCGCCTCGTCCCGGGAGTGAAAGGCCTGAGGGGCGGACGTCCTGCCTGGTCAGAAACCCGCTCTCCCAGCCTGGGTGCTGGCCACCCCGCCTCCCGCCCTGGTCCGGCTCTGATCCCCGGGCTCACCGACTGCCTCCCTCGTCACTGCACGTCGGGCTGCCCGCCCTCGCCTCCCCGTGCCCCGTTCGGCCACCGCCCACCCTCACGATGTGCCAGCTGCGTGCTGGGAGCTTCCGGGCACCGTCTGGGAGCCCACCCCGTGGCCCCGAGGGGCAGTACCGTCATCACCCCATCTCACAGGCCAGCGCGCTGAAGCGCCAGAGCTGGGGCGCTCGCCCGTGTCACGCCTCCCGCAGGGCGGGGCTGGCAGCTGAGTGTGCCCGCCACAGCCTGGAGGCCGGGCCGGCGGAGCCCGCACCTGGTCCCGCTCGCGCTCCACCTCCTCCAGCTGCAGCATGACGGTGTTCATGCGGTGCCGGTACATCTCGCAGTCCTTCCCCAGCGTGGAGCACTTCAGCTCCAGGTCCTCCTTCTCCTCCAGGTACTGCCGGCCACACAGAGAGGTCAGACACACGCCCACCCGGGCAGGGCCAGGCGGCGGCCTGCAGCGGGCCCCACCTGGGCTGCGAGTCTGGACCTCCTAGCCTGTCCCGGAGCCACGTCGACAGGCAGCTACTCTGCGGAGACCTCTGTGGGCCTGCTGCAGGCAGACCTCGGAGACGCCGCAGGCCCGGTTCCAGACCCCGCAATCAAGTGAGTGACATGCGCGTTCGGCCTCCCAGTGCTTAGAGAAGTTACAGTCACGTTCTCCTGTTGTCTCTTTCGAAGCTTGAAATATCGTGAGAATGACCCCCATGGGACACAGAGACACGGAGTGAGCACGTGCTGTTGGAAAAATGGCGCCCACAGACTTGCTGGACGCAGGGTCGCCACAAACCTTCAATGTGCAAGAAACACTGTATGTGTGAAGTGCAATAAAGTGAGGTCTGCTGGTGCGTGCCAGTGAGCAGTGAGACTGGGGACCTGGGGGGGCCGTACGGACACGGCACCTACCCTCCTGGGCCCGTGGTCACGGGGAGGGCAGGTGGTGGGTCAATGCGTGTCACTATTGTTAGCTGCCCTTGGGTCACCCCGACTCACGGTGACCCTGTGCATAATGGAACGAAACGTCGCCCCGTCCCCGTCATCCCCAGGATGGGCTGCAGGCTGGACGCTGTGATTTATATGGTCTCACTGTCGAATTTCCAGGCCTCTCCTCCTAGCCACCTTAGTCTGGGAGCTCTGCTGGAAGCCTTCAGCATCCCAGCCCCACGCGGCCTCTGCTGACAGACAGGCAGCGGCTGTGCACTGGCCAGGCATGGAACCCGGGTCTCCCCCATGACAACCCTACGGCTGAGCTGTCACGGCCTCATTCTAAGTGACTGCCTACGGAGGACTAACACGACCATGGCAGGGGGCTGGGCGCTGGAGGGACGGGTCCCAGGGCCCTGCGCACGCACCTTGTCCCGGAGCTCCTCGGCCTGGCGCGCCTCCTCCTGCAGGTTGTAGATCTTGTTCACCAGCTCCTGCCGGTCCTCCAGCGCCTCCTTGCGGTCATGTTCCAGGATGTCCAGGATGGCTTTGTCCGAGTCTGGCAGGCTGCGCTTCCCGGCCTGGGGGCAGCAGGGACAGTGCAGGGTGTGTGTGTGTGTGTGTGTGTGAGTGAGCGCTCGGGCACACGTGGGGAGTGGGAGGGCGTTCAGGACCCAGGGGCAGGCACAGAGCAAGCAGAAAGCTGGCGCCAGGGCTGCAGAGCCAGCCCTTCTGCCTCCTGGGGACAGTAAGGAGCTCATCACCTAAGCTGATCACTTGGAGAAAAGCCTAAGACCCGCTTCTGCTTGGGACCCCCTGGGACCCCCTTTCCACTGTGCTGCAGCTCTTATCAGAGCCCAGAGGGGCTCGTCTGAGCCTCAGACACTCCTGGTGACGGGGGCTGAGCCGCCTCCCCGGTGGCTCCTGAAGCATCAGCTAATCTGCTCCTGTCTTGCCAGGATGCGTCCTGCAGAGCCTGGCAGCGGGTCCCGGGAGGGACGGGTACGTCTCGGGAAGGGGATGCGTGCCTTCTTCCTCCCTGGCAGCTGTTCTGGGAGACAGCTTCCTCCCAGACACCCACAGGGGAGCAGGATGACACGCACGGAGGCACTGCAGGTACTAACGTATGGCCGACTGGAGGGCTGAGCTTCTCAGAATTTTCAAGGGGAACCAGGCAGCCCAGTGTGCGCTCCTCTCCTTGTGGGCCCAAGGCGTCCCAGGCCCTTTCCTTAGGGACACGCTTCCCAAGCATCATCTCCACAGTGGCTCTAGAGGTGGTGGGTGGTCACCCCCACCTGGTGAAGGAGGAAGCCAAAGCCCTGGGCCCCGCTGCCTGTGCCCACCCCTCACCTGGATGACCGACCGCAGCCCCGCCCGCCCCTCACCTGGACGACCTCTCACCTGGACGACCCCTCACCTGGACGACCCCTCACCTGGACGACCCCACACCTGGACGACCCCTCACCTGGACGACCCCACACCTGGACGACCCCTCACCTGGACGACCCCGCACCTGGACGACCCC